CCCCAAAACCCCAAAACCCCAAAACCCCAAAACCCCTCATATCTAAAATCAAAATAAAATCTGCTAAAAATGAATTTACCAAATATAATTTAATCAAAATCATCACTGATAAGTTGAATGTCTTTTCAAAACCATTAATTTGAATTTCAATCTCTACTTACTTAATAAACTTCAATTTCTAAGACTTTAAAATTCTTAGAGCCTGCTAAGTATTGCTCACATTGTTAAGTTCCATATTGGATACCATTTGGAAGTTAATAAGTGCTACCGATATTTGCAGAGCTTGATCTCCTCTCATCGCAATTATCCTTGATAAAGATATCGGTCATGCCAAATTGCAAAATTTAATTCTTTTGATGGCCTACTGCGAAACCAGTGTTTTGAGATTGGGTGTATTTCGCTCTCTTAGTAAGCTAGAAAATAAATGCATCCCCATCAGAATTCTATTAATAAAGGCCTTCTGGAGATTTCCAAGGAATAGAAGTGTATCCTCCAAAAATCTAGCCGTATTCACTCAGGATAAATGCGACTGTAGGGCCTTTGTTATCACACTTTTAATGAAATGCATTACCTTTGAAGGTGTCGCTTGAGGCTTTGTACAGTAATTAGCATTATCCATTAAGTCTGAAGACTAATTCATTCACATCACCTGATTAATTGATGTGCTAGTCAACTAATCTTCTGTATTCCTCAAGCTTCTACGGTATTTCTTCAGTAGTCAATGGAACCGCTTTAGCCTCTTCTCTACTTGGCACTATTCTAAAATTTGCAACATTTTTATCCAATTTCACTTCTTTCTTTCGAGTCAAAAATGACTACATTGTTTCAATATATTAGTCAAAATCATTTAGCAAACCATTGATGTTATCTTGCATTGCTTTGCTATCTTTAAGTTCAACATTTCTGAAATGGAATTCAGCATATTTCTAGAGTTATTTCATAGAACTTTAAAAGCTCGAATTTGCTTGTTTGAAGTAGTAATCCATCACATAATTCTAATACGCTAGATATTCATTATTGAATCCAATCAGTTGAAGGAAATCCTCTTTCAAATCCTAAATAGTTGGTCGCTTTTCTGCTTGAAATGATGTCATTTCGTTAAATATCTACTAAAATTCAGAGTATTATTCTTCTAGGTCTATTTTTTGTATCAATTAAAGACTTTAGATGTTTGATAGAACAGTATTAACTTTACGATCACCAGATAATTTGTCTGATCCAGTCATAAGATAATGAAGCACCACTCCGAGGGACCAGATATCTACTTTATTATCATATGCCTAATTTAAACAAATCTCCGGTGCTTTATAATCATCTTTTCCAGCATTAAGTTTTGTTTTTGTTCCATAAGAAGCTATACCGAAATCGCAAATTTTTACAATTAGACCATCAAAAACTAGAATATTATCAGGAGAGATATCTCTGTGGGTGAATTTACAAGTATGTGTATAATCTAAACCTTCCAGTAATTATAGCATTATGAATGAAATTTCTGAAACACTTAGCTTTCTTTTTTCTTAGTTCAATCTTTTTTTAACATACATCTCTAAATTTCCTTCTTCTGCAAACTCGCTTACAATTACAAATTTGTTTTCAAGAGTAGGAAATGCATCCAGTATTTCAACAATATTTGGATGTTTCAGCTAGAATGTTGCAATTTCTCTTAATAATCTTAGTAATCTCATCATAAAATCCTCTTTTTCTAAATCTGTAGCACTGGAGTTAAATACATGGATATCTTGCTACTTAAAAGCAACTTTCATATTCTCGATTAGTTCTTATTTCTCATTTAATGGTGAAGCATGGTATACTTAACCAAATGCTCCAGTTCCAATCAATTTTTCGATTCTATATTTCATATCAGGGTTGCTAATTTTCAACCCAAATCCATTCATTTCCATAGTATCTTTATTTCAAACTTTAATTAATAATAAATACTAACTTAAACTAAAAATTCATTGTTAAGCTAAATAATCAATTATTAATTAGAAGCGTCAATATACCTTCATTCCTTATAATGTAGTATGCTAAATAAATTTTACTGGGAAAAAATCGTGAGCCACTAATAAACTCAATAAATCAATTTGATATTATCAAAAAGCAGCAAACACTTGATGACATGAAATTCAAATTCAAGATTTAGGAATTTTCGTTCTTTTTAAAAACCTTGAAAATCTTCGCTTTAATAATTTTCATGCATAGAAATTTCATATAATAGGAATTGGATTAAAGCCTTATCTATAGAGTAATAAGCCCTTTAGGATTATTTGTCTTATTTTAAGTCAATGAGTCTCTCTCTTTAAAGACTCAAAGCCAGCTAAATATTTGCTCATTAGTTCTTGGAAACATTGGATGCTTGGTAGCTTGGCAATCATCTCTTTATAAAATTGAGAAAATAAAAATCTTTCAGGATTATGAGTAGTAAGTTAAAGTGCATTTTATAGTTTATTTTTTAGTTAAGGTCCCTTTTTATTGTATCAGTTGTTTACTTGCTATATGACAAATCTTTCTTGGCAAGTTTGCTTAATTAATCAATGTATATTATGGGCGTATTACTTTTTGAAAATTATAGTAATTATCGGGTTTGGTATGCTTATTTGTGTATCTTTATAATTTTAGAATAAATCCCAGGAAGTGCTTTTGTGAGTTTGTTTTTCCAGTTAGCTATATTTTCAAAATTACTGTAGTTCAAGGAAAGTTTCTCCCAACTGATAAGAATTCATTTGGATTGTACTAAGGAGGTATTATTTTTTAACTATTAATAAATATCTATCTAAATTAGACTGAAAGAAATCTCATAAAAGTGCTAAACCTTCTCCCCCAAGGAATAATGATATTTAATAAAGACCTCTAATCAATTTACTTTGCTAATAAATCAGCTTATGATATGATTTGCAACTAACCATGGTACTAGATGCAATATGAGAGCAAAGATGGGCTAGAAAATTTCAACTATCATGAAGACTCATTTTATAATGATGATGATTAAAGAGATAAGCTTAGAAAGTAAATAGGCAATAGTGAATCCGATCTTTTAAGTGAAATTAAGGAAATGAAAGTCTAAAAAATATCAATTGAAGATGGAAAAATAGAGAGGAAGAAAACAAACATAGATTTAATGTCTTTAATTAGTCAGCTTGGAAGACCTCATTAATCTATACAAGCGAAACTACCATAACCTTCTAAACTTTTAATAGATTTTCAATCGATTATGATTAATAGGGATACCTAAAAATTAGTAATAATGAAAGATAATTCTGAGGTTAGACTTAGAGAAAAGACTATGGCTCAGAGTAAGATGCAGACTGTATTTTTCGCTTCAGTAGCTCATGATTTACGAACCCCATTAAATTCATTATAAGCATCAAATACCAGTTTAATTAAGTAATGTCAAGGATCCATTAATATTTAGAAGTTAGCTATAATATAAAAAAACAGCATTGATTTCTTAATTAGTTTGGTAGATGATATAATGGATCTCTCTCAGATTTAATTCAACACTTTTACTTTAAATCTTACATGGTTCAGCCCAATTGAAATTATTATGGAGGTTATTCAGATGACTGAGTTTTAAGCGATTTCCAAAGGCTTAAAAATTTTATTAGATAATTAAATAGATAATAGAATTGAAATATATTCAGATAAAAGAAGATTGAAATAAGTACTCTTGAACTTAGTTAGTAATGCTCTTAAATTCACATAAAAAGGTTACATTAAAATATATATGAAGCTTGAAGTTAGTGATAGCATGCCATTAGGTAAAGAAAATAATTAAAATCTACCTTATTTAATTTTATAAATATTCTCTTAATGATGGTAATTATAGTTCATGATGCTTATGAGGAATAAAAGGAGATTATGCATGATCCTATAATACCATTTCAGAGTGAGAGTTTTTATACTGAATACAGAAATATTTAAACAAACAGAGAAAAATTTCTTAGAATAGAAGTTGAGGATACAGGGATAGGCATAAGTAAATAAGATCTTACAAATCTATTCAAGCTTTTCGGCAAGCTTAAGTCTTCTTTACATTTGAATCAGAACGGAATAGGCCTAGGATTGACTATTTGCAAAAAAATAACTGAGTTCATGGGAGGAACTATTGATGCTGAATCTCAAATAAACGAAGGAACTAAATTTACTTGCAAGACGCCTGTAGAATATGTACGAAAGCATCTAGTGAGAGCATCCACAAATGAAGATCTAGATTTTGATAGCATGGAAGTGATAAACGAAACTTTGCTAGCTGGAATTGAGAAATATAGTCATAATTCTTCTTTTCATCAAAATCCATTTAGTTCTGGCAATTAATCTCCTAAATCTGATGGTAAGAACCTATAAATTCGATAATAAATTTATAGGAAAATCAGCTATAAAATCTAAACAGCCTATATCAAAGTTCTAGAATTAGAATTATAAAAAATGAAACCTTAACACTTTGAAAAGACAATTGAAGATATTGATTGTTGATGATTCTGAGTTTAATGTTATGGCTTTAAAAATCTAGATGGAAGAGTTATGCTTAAAACTAAATATTAAGGAACTTATACTTATAGCTGTACAGTATTTTTACTTTAAATTTCTAAAGGCTTATGAAGGATGTGAAGGATTAGACAAAATTTAAGAGAATATCTATGAGCCGTTTAACATTGTATTCATTGATCAAAATATGCCTAAAATGAATGGAATACAATTGATGACTTTGGTTTCAAAAGACATTGCAGATGGTACCTTAGAAAACTACAAGTCGACTTAATTCGTTTTTTGCAGTGCTTGCTCATAATATGAAAGCAATGATCATATGATCTATGGTTTCAATTGCTACCGTAAGTATCATTTCATTCAATAGATGTAATCTAATTAATTATAGTTGAGAAACCACTTGATATAAAAAAATTAGAGAGAATCATCTGTGCCTTTTTGTTAACATGAACTAGCATAATACGAATAATTATAGTGTTGGGAAAAAATTGATTTTGAATATAGTCTTTTAACACTTGATTTCGTAAATTTACTCTTATGGGGTTTTGGGGTTTTGGGGTTTTGGGG